AGCCCATCAGAGCAAGAAGGCAGGGAATGTTGCAGGGCAATCTATTATTTATTGTTTATTTAGCATATGATGAGTACATTACAAAGAAGTAACTATCCAACTATCAAGGAAGTAGGTACATTTGGTGCGACCTATAAAAAGGGTCTCCAGTGTGGTGACTCCCTCCCTTCGAAGCATCATTCCCCCAGAGATAAGATTGGCCCCCAGTTTTTTGCATTTCTGCAGAAAAGGCAGACCTGATTTTGTCAGCAAACTTGGGGACACCATCCGGAGCTGATCAAGTGGCTTATCTGATTGTGTTGCCATTGCTGCAGAATGGGGGAGTTTGTTGGGGTGTGTGTTAAAACTGGATTTTTAACCTTGGATGTTTACGTAATAATAAATTGATTTACACAAAATGTTTTAGTATTAGTCATTTTATTTGCAATTCCTTTCCAATAATTCCCACAGTAGAATTCTTACCTTTACAGCATCCCCACTTGATCAGAATTTTTTTATTGAGTTTCCAGTACCTCCAACAATGTGACTTGATCATCACTACAGATAAGAACCATTAGTATTAAACTGGAATTTTACATGCCCAGATGTGTATTGTATCATTTTATGTTATTGGATACTAAATGCAATTGCCGATTTAATATCCATTCTCTTGGATAGCACATTTTGGAGTTCTTCCATCTTCTTTAATAACCCTAAAAATTTGCTGTTTAGAACAATCAGGCCATTTCATTATTAATTCTAGTTCTGTGTTTCTCAACTGTGACAACTTGAAGAGATGTGAACTTCAATTTCCCGAATTCTAGCTAGCATACTGGCTGGGGAATTCTGAGAACTGAAGTCCACTTATCTTGACTTATCTTGACTTATCCACTTATAAGCAAAGTCCATTTACTTATTCTCTTTTATGATACTTCCATTTCTAGTGGTTCAATCATAATTACCCTTTTCTGTCTTGGGTCTTAGCCTGATTCATGATATGCACTTACCAATCTTTGTTAAAATTTCTTTTCTTGTCTTCCACTTCTTCTAAGCAAGTTAGGGCTCTTCATCAAAATTTCTCACAAAAGGTTCTTGAGTAAATTATGTTAAGGATCTTCTTCTTCTTTGATTACTAGGAGGGGAATAATCCAATGTTGATTTGACCAAAAAAAAACCCATAATCCTTCTCAGAGCATATGATTAACATGTGGGATTCATTGCCCTGGTTACTTACTTGGATGACTTAACCCAGGATTGGAGAAATTTATGGAGGCCAATTCTGTCAAGGGCTGTTAGTCTTGAAAATTCTATATTATCATTAAGTTGGAGAAAGTGTGCCTCCAGATACAAGTTACAGAGGGGAAATTGGAGGAGATAAGTTTGTCTGCAACTCCTTTTTTTTAAAAATGAAGATTTTAATTGTTTTAACATTTAAGGAATAAAATAACTGCATATTAAAAAAAAGAAAACAAATAAGGGCATAATGGAAGGAAAACAAATACTATACTTATCATAAATAAGTATAGAATTTACAATTCTCATAAATTTTAAAAATCAGTATTCCCTTATTTCATTGATTAAATAATTAAACTGAATATATAAAACTAGACTCCTCATCTTTACACATTGAAAAACACTACAAAACTCTGAACATTAATATTTGTATGGATGTCACCACTATTTATCGTTACCTAAAATAAAATCTATACCACCCAGAGTTCCTCTGTGAAGGAGATGGGCAGTTCTTAAAATATGATAAAGCAAATAAACAAATGTGCATCTTATAAAAAGAACAATGAAAAATAAATAGGAAAAACAATAGGTAAAAACAGTATAAACTTCCAGATTCCCTTCCATTGTATCCAACTGGAGATTACCTATATTTATAAACATTAAAATTGCTTCCGATTACTATTTTACATCAAACATTTCCCGTTTAAAAACTGTACTGCACTTGATATGTCTTTTTGGGGTGAAGCGCCTCAAAACGAAATGCTTCGTTGAGTGAGGGTTTCTTGCCTTCTGCCTTGAAAGAGGCGGTGGTGAGGCCCCTCCTCAAGAAGCCTTCTCTGGATCTGGCTGTTTTGGCGAATTACCGTCCAGTCTCCAACCTTCGCTTTGTGTTGAAGGTTGTTGAGAGTGTGATTGCGCGATGATAGATAGATAGCATCTGGTTGGCCACTGTGAAAAACTAAGATGGGCTTTGGTATGAACCAGCAAGGCTGTTCCTACGTTCTTGTGTGTTTCTTTTTTTATTGCCTTGCTCACCTAATCCCCCCCCCCCAAGAGCTTGATATTTGTTTCTTACAATTCTAGCAACTTCTAGGATTGGCAGTATTTTTTCTAATCTTTGGCATACATTTGAACCTGAATAAAAATGTGTTTATTCCTTCAACCAGTTTTGCTTATTTTAATGTTTTAGATGTGACCTCACATTAATGGTTTTGTTGATAGTCTGCCCGGGAAATGGGCAGATAAGAACTTGCTGTCAAGCAGTTTGTTACAGTATGTTTTGAAACTTAAATACAAGCAATGCTCATTTTATCATGTTTAACTTGTGTGGGAAATCCACTAGGACTTAAGTGCATTCTGAAGCACGTGAAATCTGAAATGAAAAACTTTTAGTGGTAAGATTAGATCGATGTAGATTTATATAGACACACATATACAAATACACTCAATGTACTTACAGATAGTCCTTGTTTAGTGACTGCCTTGGATAGCGATTATTTGCATTTATGATAGGGATGAAAAGTAACTTTGCAATCAATCCCCACATTTACGACTTTTGCAGACATGCAAAGCAAAGCTGAAGTAAGATTGTAAGGACAGCCAAGATTTCATTTAGTGGCTGCTTTGCTTAACAACTGAGTTGTTGGCCCCAAATGTGTTCACTAAACAAGGACTGCCTACAGTAGTGGCCAAAATTGTGGAAACATTTTGGGAAAAGTGTATTTTCTAAAACTAACTAATAACACTACTTTTTTTTTAGTAGTACCATAAAATTATATATCAATGGAAAGATAATTTAATCAAGAATGTAATGCAATAACTTTTATGAAGGATTTGCTATTAGAATAGCAGTTACCGTATAAAGAAGAAAAGTGAAACATGTAAAAAAATCCTGAGATATACAAAAATTATCACCATAGAAAAAATTAGGTGGTAAGTTTTCCTTCTTTCAATTTTGCGCATAGACTATGTGGGCTGCTGTCAGTATATGTAATATTAAATAATATATTTCCTTAGTATAGTTTTCTATGGAAATCCCTAGTAGAAACTTACCATCAGAAGAACATTTAATTAGGAATCTTAGAGTGTGCAGAGATGGACAAATTAACAAAAGAAATCAAGGAGAAAGAGGATACAGAATATTACAAAGTGTTATGTAGGTGATTTGAATGGTTGGAGAATAGGAAAAATGAGAAAGAAGAATAAAGGAGAGAGGGGAGAAAAAATGTTGAAGATCAAAGTACAATTTAGACAAAAGAAAGAATGATGGAAAATAAATTGTTGAATAAGATAAAGTTAAATTATGTGTGAATAGATGTAAATAGTAAGAAAGGATCACTTCGAAGTAGCTGTAAGGAAAAATGATATGTATATAAATGATGTGTGTTTGTGTCTTGTTTTTAATGTTTTCAAAATAAAAAACTTTTTTTAAAAAAGAAAAAGAAAAAATGAGATATACAAAAATTATCTCGTCAGTTAATAGTTCGTTGGGTAACCTTTAGCATGAATTATGGCCTTACAACGTCTTCCCATGGAGTGAACCAAGTCTTTTAGTTCTGCAGCTGTTATAATGTGAAATCAAGATTGAATGATTGCTTCTATTAACTGGGTTTTATTGCTGGGTCGCTTCTGACTAACAAGTTTCTTTAGTCGGCTCCATAGATTTTAAATTGGGTTAAGGTCTGGGCTATTCCCAGGCCATTCCAGCAGTGGAATATGATTATATTGAAACTCCAAAAAAAAAAAAAAGTGGTATTATTAGCCATCAAACCTCAAAAACACACTTTTCCCAAAAGGTTTCCACAATTTTGGCCACTACTGTATACTTACTTACAACTTCATTTATTATCTGAGAACAGATTTGGCGTACTGTGGGAATAACGTATTCTAATATCTGAGGATGTCAGGCTGGCAGAATCCTTTCTTAGTGCATACTTCCAATATCAGAAGTGAGAGAAAAAGAACTGAGCAGTACAATCTTGTATAGTTTACACAGAAATAAGCCTGATAAACTCCAGTGGGATTTTGCCTTAAGAAGATTTAAAGGCTTGCAGCCTTCTACCCAAAGCAGAACCTGACTTGATGACACCGAATTGACTAATAAAGAAGAGGGAAATGCTGTCACTGCATATCTTTTCTTCACTCCCTTTCTGAATAGAAAAGTAAATAAAAAAGGGAAGTCTCCCATAGATCCATTTTGGGAAGATTTATTGGGTTTTGAGAGGCAGACGTACCTATTGAAACGCTTAAAATATCTTGCTGTCTAAAAAAGGGAAACATCAACTCAGTTTTGAAACATGAGTGTTTTCGTAAGTCCATGCAAGGCTCAGTGAACCCATCTTGCTGCTCAAACACACTTGCATTAAAAAAAAAAAATACAAGAGAAAAGAGTGCTAAACCTACATGGGGTTGGAATGAGGTGGGGGGGGGCATACTTTTCATCCTGATATATAGCTCTGTAAAGCTTTTAAAAGATGAAGATCAGCAAACTGGAGAGTTGGCAGTTCTGCTCGGCAGGTTTTACAAATACAGATTTAAAATTAGGCCTCTAGGCTCTTTCTTTGACATGTGACTTCAAGTGTCCTGGGAGGTTTGTACAGTAATCTTGCCTTTGTGAAGAACTTGGGAATTGACCCTTCTTGTGTAATCCTGGATTTACAAGGTGTAAAAAACCAGAGGGTTGCAAAAAGTAACTTCTATCTCTGTCATGATTACTAAGTGCTCAGTCCTTGAGCAATCCCACATGCTTGCTGACTCTTTCTTCTCATTTATTTTTCTTCTTTTACTAGGGCACTGAAACCCCAGAGAGTAGCTACGGGGACCGTGAAAGTGCCTTCAGCGAATCAGATCTCTTTCCAGATGAAGACACCATGACCCTGGCCCAGCAGGAAGTCCACCATGAGTCTGATATGGACAGTGCCATTGAAAGTAACCACAGTTCAGAAGCATCAGTTGTATGCAAGGTTGAGAAGGATGCTGTGTTGAATGGCCTCTTCCTGCCTGGAGATAAGTGAGTACAAATACCGTTGGAAAAGCTATTTTTTTTTATTATTATTATTTTTATCCTTTTAAAAAGCCTTCAGCTGTAGGCCGGGTCCTTTCTCATAATAGGTATTGATAGATGCATCGCTTCCACATCGTTGACTACCAATGGCAGCACAGCTGATGAAAATGTCTCTCAGTTACGGCATATATAAAGGGAGCAGGAGAGAGAGAGAGACAGCTGAGACCCATCAATCTGCTAATTTCCAGTCTTGGATTTTTACTAACTTTTTGCATTACTCTTGAGAGGATTGTTCTTGGCCTTCATTCTCAGGTTCTTAAATAAGGAATCAAAGTCTTTGTAGGAGTTGTCAAAGGACTAGTCCAAATAATTTGTGGTTAGTGTTCCATCTGTGATTTAACAGAGAAACTGAGATAAATATAGAAGAAGCTCTGCTAGACTAACATGGAGGACAAAACCAATAGTGGCTAGGTAATTGGAAGCACAACATAGTTGTACAGATAGAGGCTGCAGATTGGCAGAAGCACTGCAATATAATTGGATAACTTCCTGCTTTTCAGATGCCTGCAGTCCTTCAGCTACCCACAACTCCCCTGCTTGTGTCTTCCTGACCCAGTGCCCCTGGCAAACATGATGACAGTTGCTGCTTCTACTGATTTCTTGAAAAATCTATCCCTCTGGAGCAGGGTTTCTGATCCGTGCCTACTTTAAGATGGTGGATTTCAAGCTTAAGGCAGCTTACATGGGAATCTTCAACAACCTTTCCCTCACCCACTTCATTCTAATTTAAATCTCACAATATTCTAACTCAATGATTTCCCCATTGCCGGATTTGGAATTCAGGAGTTGAAGTCCATCCATCTTAAAGTTGCCAAGGTTGAGAAACATTGCTCTAGAGCAGTGGTTCTCAACCTGTGGGTCGGGACCCCTTTGGGGGTCGAACGACCCTTTCACAGGGGTCGCCTAAGACCATTGGAAAATACATATTTTCAATGGTCTTAGGAACAATTTTATGGTTGGGGGTCACCACAACATGAGGAACTGTATTAAAGGGTCGCGGCATTAGGAAGGTTGAGAACCACTGCTCTAGAGCAAGGGTGTCAAACTGACGGTCCGTAGCCAGATGCGTCATGTGCAGGCCACACCCACCCCAGCTCCACGAAAAAAATCATATGTCACATGATTGCAATGTGACGCGGCGAGTTTGACACCCATTCTCTAGAGTCTTCTCAGTTGAAATCAAATACAAGAAAGAATCACATGCTGGATTTTGTACAGTGAGCTCTGTGGTTTTAGGGTTTTTCAGCTGCTGTGAGGCCTAATGTTCATAGAAGCCTCACAACAAAAGTGAAAGCGTATGATCTGTGACTTATTCTTAATGCAAGATTATTGAGTGACTGATCCAAAGTTCACTCATGTGGCTTTCATGCTTAATGCAGAATTAGAACTCCTGGTTTCTAGCCTGGCAGGTTAAATATTATAGGAATTCTTTTTTGTCTGCACCACTCTTAACTACTAGACCAAACTGGTTCCATGACAGCAAAATAATAGGTCTAGGAATTGAGGTGATCAATAGCTCTTGTACAAATACACATGTGTATAACATGTTATTACACCAATATGTACAAAATAATGTTACTAATATTGGTCCTACAGTGTTTCCCCGAAAAGAAGAAACGGTTAGGGATTCTTTTCAAGTGGGTCTAATTATTGACTCACTTCACCACTGCAGCATCGACAGCCCTGCCCAGCAGGAGCCTGCTGCCGGCCCACTTCTGTGGCTGCTTGCTGCCACTCGCACACGTCGCCCCCAGCCTCCGTTTTGCCATCAGAGTCTTCCGGAAAGCCCTCTGCAGCTGACAAATGGGCTCCGAATTGACACGCATGTCAATTGAAAGCATGTCGCCCAGTGGTGGGTTGCTACTGGTTCACCCCGGTTCAGGCGAACTGGTAGCGGCTGCAGCAGGAGGCTCCGCCTCCGCCCGGACGTCTCGGTCCCAGAAGTATGTACAGAAGCGTCACATGCCCGCGAGCAAACCGGTAGCAAACGAAATTGAAACCACTACTGGTGTCGCCCCCTGCTTTCATTTTGCCATCCGAGTCTTCAAGAAAGCCCTTTGCAGCCAATAACAGAGCTCTGGATCCGGCAAAACGGAGGCCAGGGGCGACGTGTGTGAGTGGCAGCAAGCGGCCACAGAAGAAGTGGGCTGCAGAAGAAGGTGAGGCAGGTGTCAGGGTGTGCGAGGCCTGGTAAGTAGGGCAGCTCCCCCCCAGCTTAATTTTTACCTCACCCCACCCCCTTCCCCCCCAGGGTGGGCAGGGTCTTAATTAGGGCTAATTTGGGGGGTAGGGCTTAATTTGAGCGCATGCATTCAAAAGCATGATAGGGCTTCTTTTCAGGGTGGGTCTTGTTTTAGGGGAAACACGGTAGCTGCCTAACACTCCTGGTTGTGTTGGCCTGATAGCAAAAAACCATTTGTGTTAGTATCCAAGAGCTGTATTGATATGCACCATAAGCCAGTGCAAAGCAACTGAAATCTGCTTTGACAGAGCTGTGGAGATGACCTGATTTGGTTCACTGAATCAGAAAGGCCACCGAGTTCATCTTGTTGAAGCAATTTGAAAAGCTTTGAACTGCATCAGATCAAAGCTGAAGGAGACAGTTTCCCATCACTCTTTATTTCCCATCACTGGTTAAAATGCTTTTAGCAGGCTACTCCTGGTTGTCCAAGCTAGACAGTTTCTGTTGTACACCTTCCTTGTTATAGGTACCGTATTTTCCGGCGTATAAGACGACTTTTAAACACATGAAAATCTTCTCAAAAGTCGGGGGTCGTCTTATATGCCGGGTGTCGTTCTCCTGTAACCAGGCAGACCAGCCCGAAAGGCTCTGACGAGCCTTAAATGGCTCTGGCGATCCCAGCTCTGACGATCCCAGCTCTGACAATCCCAGCTGAGTTCCCTGCAACTCAGCTGGGATCGCCAGAAACCACGTAAAAGGAAAAAAGTTTTTTCCCTTTTACTCTGAGGATCCCAGCTCTGACGATCCCAGCGGAGTTCCCTGCAACTCAGCTGGGATGGCCAGAGCCATGTAAAAGGGAAAAAGTTTTCCCCCTCCAGCTTGCTTACCTCAGCTGCTAGTCGCAACGCTTGCCTTGCTTTGCTTGCCTGAATCTATTCAGGCAAGCAAGCAACTCCCTGCCTGCAATCAAGCAAGGAGTTAGTTGTGGACTTCAACTCCCAGAATTCCTCAGCCAGCAAAGCAAAGCTGGCTGAGGAATTCTGGGAGTTGAAGTCTACAAGTCTTAAAGTTGCCAAGGTTGGAGACCCCTGTTCTATTGGGTAAGTTTTTTTCCCCTTTGGGTGCTTTAAAAAAAATAGTCAATTGGGGTTTTTTTAGTTGTTCTTTTTTAGACCTAGCCATTTAAAGTTTAGGAAGTTTTAAATTTAGCTTTCATATAAAAATAAAAATAAAAATAAAATAAAATAAAACAATATTTGTGCAGCTTTCTGAGATTTAGTGTGTTTCTGTAGTGTTTCACTCCAACTACACAAACACACAAAATCTCACAAAGCTGTATGTGGAATTTTGTGTGTGTAAAGTGTGAAAGTTGGTTTTTTTTGGACTTTTTGTGGCTGTGTGAGTTTCCTGCTTGTTGTAGGGGCCATTTTGGGTCTAGCACAGCTGCTTTTACATTGTGGGTGAGCCAGCTGTGTTGTGTTGTGTGTGTTTAGAGTGTGAAAGTTTTTTGGGGGGGCTTTTTGTGGCTGTGTGAGGTTCCTGCTTGTTACAGGGGCCATTTTGGGTCTAGCACAGCTGCTTTTACATTGTAGGTGAGCCAGTTGATGTTTTTTAATTTTTATTTGGTGTGCATTGGAAGAGGGGCAGTCTTATATGGCAAGTATAGCCCAAACCCTATATTTTAACAGGAAAAGTTGGGGGTCGTCTTATACGCCCAGTCGTCTTATACGCCGGAAAATATGGTACTGTTTTTGCTCTGCTGCCATCGCTAAACCTCTCTTCTGGTTTGGAAATGATTTATGTCTAAAGCAGAGGTGTCAAACTCAATTTCATTGAGGGCTGCATCAGGGTTGTATTTGACCTCAGGGGGCCAGGGTGGGTGTGGCCAGCTCGAAGGCACTCCTGTCGGGGGCACCTATGGTGGCTTAAGAGCTCTGCCAGTGAAAACAGAGCTTGGAAGGGCTGCGTGCGGAACAACCCCTACAGTGGGACAACTCCCGCCTGGGACAACCTCTACAGTGGGACCTAACCTGCCAAAAGGCATTTGAAACACTAAAATAACTTTTTGCAAAGGAACTGGTACTGAAGCACGCTGACCCCGAACAACCCTTCGTCATCCAAGCAGACGCCAATGACGTGGCAGTGGGAGGAGTGCTACTCCAAAGAAATAGCATAGGCACCTCAGACCATCGGTTGAGGGGTTTGCTACATTTCTAAGTCGCCCTTCCATCAAGTTTGTCAGGGCATCATAGGTACTTTTCTTCCAGCTTCACAACATTCCTGAACTCAGCTAATTAGTCACTCCATAAGTGTCACATCTAAATAAGTATATGAATCTAGCTCTTTCAAGACCTAGCTTAACGTGCAAACTGTGGAGTCTTCTATCTTACGTAAATATGTGTTGTATAAATCTTTCCATGCGTTTCTCTATCATTTAAATCAGGGGTCCCCAAACTTGGCGACTTTAAGACTGGTGGACTTCAACTCCCAGAATTCCCCAGCTAGCATGGCTGGCTGGGGAATTCTGGGAGTTGAAGTTCACCAGTCTTAAAGTCGCCAAGTTTGGAGACCCCTGATTTAAAAGAACCAAGTAGTATTTGATAGCTGGACGCACTTAGGTATGTTAGGGTCAAAAACTGAAAGGGGATTACATATTAAGAGTCTTATCTTCTCCTTCTTCTAACAGGAAAAATTGCTGGGGCAACTTTGTGTGCATGAGATGTTGTGTATATCTAGCAAATATATTTGTATCCTGACATTTGTGCATTTGCTGAACTGTTCATTGTGGGCCAGTGACTCCCACACACCCCAAAGGGCTGCCTACCCCAGTCTCAAACTCATTCTATAAGAATGATGTGAGCTTCCCCATGAAAATGGAGACAATAAGGAAAATGTGAAGCACTTGTGGGAAGAAGGAGGCGAGATTGACAGGGAAGAATAAATTTCAGCAAGTTCCAGGAACTCATAATTATGTTGTTATGAATCACAATGTGGTATATATTAGGAATGTGTACAGTATTTGTAATTATACAGAATTCTTAGAGGAGTTTAAACATTCAGTCAATGGCAAGCTGCTTCTGTATTATTGCCAAGAAAATTACATGGATGTGTCTATAAAGACACCGAGAGGAGACTATATATTTATGGTATAAAAATTGTTTATAGCAGTGTCACTCTGCATTAGACAAATAGGGAGGAAAAATGTGTGTCTCCTTCTTTCTGAATTCAAGAACTGAATTGTCTTGTGTTTTTAGCTTGCTGTTTTAACATTTCTCGGCCAGCTTGAGCCCATCCTCTCAAAGTGGTATTCTCCGACTTTTGGAAGCGTTTAATGTTTTGAAGGTAGAAAGCTTATTGTTAGGATTGTATTGTGATGTTTCCTTTCTTTTTCTCCAAGATCAAATCTGCTGAACCCTGCATCTTCTGATCTTTCCACCTATTCCACTGCCTCTCTGATCAGTAATGAAGAACAGTTTGAAGACTATGGAGAAGGAGATGATGTAGATTTCACCCCCAGCAGTCCTTGTCTTGATGATGAAAGCAGGACACATGCATATTCTGACCTTGGCTCATCTGTTTCTTCCAGGTTGGCTACTTTAATACATGCTTTGCCTCATTTTAAGTTGGAGGTGGAGAAAGGACTTAGGACGATAACTACGACTTAGTCAGTTGCTTTGCTGTTCATGAATACCTTAGTCCACATTTTGCCCCTGACTTCTTTTGGAAGAAACCTTGCAATTATCTTGCTCAAATCCCAAGACAGTGAATTGGAAATGCAGCATATCCTCTTATATAATAATAATAATAATAATAATAATAATAATAATAATAATAATAATAATAATAATATACCCATTGTCATCGGGGCACTTGGTACCATGCCCAAGAATTTTATAAAATACATCAAGAAATTGTAGCTTCCTGCAAATAACACCAGTGGAACATTGGAACATTGTATATTTGGAACATTGTATATTTTAAGAAGACACTTGGTTAATACCTAGGATGCTGGCAGCAACCCATTTCAACCATTGGCACCAGTCAATGGTATTTGTGATACATTTTAAATGTCCAGTTGACTGAGTTTCATGTTTAATGAATAAAAGAGACAATAAGGCAGGTTGGCATGGAAAATACTTTCATATGTGTGATTTTTAATGCCAGAATTGAAAGAGACTAATGGAAAGTCTGAATAACAAGATAATTCAGTATGGAATCTTTAGTCTTGTTAAAGTATTGGAAATTGCTATTGCTTATGTGGCCTGGAAATTTGTACAGTATTTTCCCCGCAGGTTCATCAGATAAATTGGACTAACAATTTATGGGTAATCAAAGCAGGAGTTATCCAACTCAGATCCTGCAAGGACATGAGACTCCTAGGCTTCCCAGAGAGAAAAGATGCAACTATAACTCCCCTCCCCTACTTTACTCCAGCTGCCCTCAATTGGTGCTGGGTGAGGAAAGTGCTCAACACCAGATCTCTCATTATTGGGGGCTGGGGGTGGCATCTGAGGGGTTTGTCTGAGGATCTCAAAGAGTTTTTCTCAACCATGACAACTTTAAGATATGTGGACTTCAACTCCCAGAATTTTAGAAATTAAAGTCCACATGTCTTGAAGTTACCAAGGTTGAGAAAGACTGATCTAGAAAGCTCTACTTATGCCTGTGAGTAGAACTGACATTGAGGAAAAAATAGTGGAAAGTCAAATCCATTCTTCCTCCTCCTATCTGGAGGACAATTTAGTTTTCACAAGTTTTTTCTTCACAGTTTTCCTCCTGAGAGAGAATTGATGTAGTGAAGGAAGTGGGTTGTTCCCAGAGGCTGGCTACCTTGATAAATCTTCCTTAAGGGAACATGGCTGAGAATATCACCACTATTAATTCTGAAGTCCACATTTAAAAAAAAAACTGATATAAATAATAAGTGTTTAATTGATAGTCACTAACTGCTTGAAGAGAGACGTTTTGGTTGCAAGTAAAAAGTGGAATGTATATAGAATAGAATAGACATATCAGGAGCATTCTGAGCATAAGGAAATGCCTATAAATCTTTGAATAATGGGATTTTTAAAAGAAACTGTATTTATGGCCATAAGCAGCGGTGAAATCCCCCTGGTTCTATCCGGCTCACCAAACTGGTAGTGCCGGTGGCGGGAGGCTCCGCCCACCCGCCAGGATGTCATTACGTCCCAGTTTTTTACCATCTGTGCATGCGCAGAAGAGGCACGTGCGCACATAGCACGCATGTGCTTCTGTGTGCTCCCGTTCCTGAACCAGTAGCAAAGGTAAGTGGATTTCACCACTGGCCATAAGGAGCAGTAAATAAAACAAAATAAAATAAAGCAAAAACAACCAGAATCTAGCTTGACCTCATAATGCCTGTAGGATCTAACTTAGTAACTCGCTGTCTTTCCACCAACAGTGCTGGTCAGACCCCACGGAAAATGAGGCATATCTATAACAGTGAGCTCTTAGATGTCTATTGCACCCAGTGCTGCAAGAAAATCAACCTCCTTAATGATCTGGAAGCCAGACTGAAAAACCTAAAAGCCAACAGGTGAGTAAGCCCAAAGAAGCTTCACTGAGAATCTGTTGAAAAGGATGTTGGGAATGAGTATATTCAGCTATCTGGTTTTTATAACTTTTTTTAATAAAACAAGCTTTGCCAGGGTAAGAAACCCTTTTATAATGGTGGTAGTTAACCTATTATTTTGTTGTTACAGGACTACATGCGCTTTCATGATAGTTAGTCCCATTAAATCTAGTTGTCCTTGCTTCTAAGTAGACTTGTAGAGTCAATTAAGCCTTTTAACTGAATGCTTTGCGCGGTGGTGAGATCTCAGTTTTAAGGCCCCTTTGAGAGACAGTAGAAGTTGGTTGTTCAATTTATAATTTAGTAAGCAAAATCCATTTCTTGCTGTTAAAAGGATGGGCTCTCTTGAAAGGATACATTTTTAAATCATTGAGTAAAGCGCTAGTGCCTCAACAGTTTTGAGAAATAAGCCAGCATATCTAGCCAATCAAAAATTGCCTTTGTTGGTTTGATTCAAGCTCTGGGGTTCCTGAATACCTGTAGTCTACACATGTGTGTCAATGGCTACACTGCTCAGCTGCTGTGTTTGTGAAAGGTGTCAGCTTCTTATCCCCACACTGAATGCTGCCAAAGACTTTAGCTAAAGCTCAGTTTATACGGTATTATCTTAATGCTGGAACAACACTAAAAAAGCTGGTGTGTACTGCGGAACTGAAAAATGAGTCACTCTTTGCTATATTTGTCTAAGGACAGTATTTCCCCCCATACTTTATGTGAATATATAGTGAGTGATTGGTCTTTTTCCTATCATCCATGTAATTGTAACAGCCTTTTAAATAGTTAATAGGAAGGGACATGACAGAGTGATAGAATTCATGCTTTTTTTTTTCCTCTTGTGCATGGAAATTCCAGGTTCAGTCGGTGACCAAGTTTAAGGAAAAATGTGTAAGATTTTGTGCCTTGGGTTGAGACTGTTATCATTGATATGACTTCACCATTTACCTTTTTTTTACACCTATCTTACTCTCAGTCCCAAGATACAGCCATTGGACAGCAAACACTGAGTTTTTCTGCTCCCCTGAATTTCAAGTATTACCATAGTGAATTCAGTTTGAGCCTGGAAGATTCTGATTATTTGAGATTCCCATTTATGTATTAACTCTGATCATTTATTGACAGAAAGAACATTACTTTTTTTTCCCATAGTGGAACAGAGTCTACATTGTTGGCTCTTTTTCTTCCATTTTATACTGAGGTTTATTTTAATAATTGTTCTGTTACTGTTCCGTTACTGTGCCACCGACCTATGAATGACACCATTCCCACCATTATTCTCAATTCCATCAAGTAATACCCTTCCAAATGTTGGTTTTAATGTATATGTGTATTTATATTTCATATTTCTTAACCACCCTTCTTCCTCAGTATTTATCTTGCACCCATCTTTCAATCCAAAAGGACAGCAAACTTGGTAGCTAACAATAACAAAAATGAGAATAAAAGAAGAATACAATGATAAAATGCACACCTCAATATTACAAAAAAAATCCCTGAATTAAAGAAAAATTCCAGATCTCTTTTGGCAGTTTTAACTTCCCATTTCAGAAATCAGTAATCCAATTTTTTTTAATCGCCATGGAGATATGTGTAACAGATTTAAAATATAAAAAATTGCTTTCTTATTGTTCAGTGCCTTTCAATGATGAATTTATTTATTCCTTTGATCGTTAAAAAAAAAGTTGCTTTACACATTAATTATCGAAGTCATTAGTATATGTTATGATGGTGTTAATGAGAATAGCTTTAAAAGAGAATGAAATTCATGGAGGATAAAATCATCCATGTCAATCAGTTATGAGGGCAACATGTTTTCTTCAGAAGCAAAAATATAATGACTCTTGAGTGCCAAAAACTGGGAAGCAAGAGTGGCAGGAAACTAGTGAAGTGATGTTTGTCAGCTTCCATAAAAACCTGGAAGGGCACAGGATGCTGGATTAGATAGACATTTGGTCTGATCAGGCAAGACCCTTCTTACAGCACAATCAATCTATTCTACATGTTGAACTTACCCAGTAGCTACCTGTTCTCGAAATGGACAATGAGGGAAACTGAACAGGGTGCAGCTCCACACAACATGCCAATTGGGACCTACTCCCAAGATTGTGTTGCATTTTGGGGGCATTTTAAAGGGTTTTAAATGATTTCAAGGGTGCCACCCTATTTTTAATTCCTCCAAAATCAAAAACCCCTGAAGGGGTTGGTCACATCACTTCTGATATGTTATCAAGGCATCACTAGGTGGCCTTCTTCGTCTGGAAGCCCTGGAAGCCGAGTGATAACTCTCAATCCTTTAAATGCTGCTTACCTCAGTCTGTTGTAAAAAGGGTCTAATTGTGAGCAGATAACTGTGGCACAGGCCTCCATACCTGATTCAGGAGCCTATCCACCAAATTCTGTGGGCTTGCTGTCTAATATGAAGGTGTGAGGTTGTAGTTTTATTATGTTTTAATGACTCAATTATATTCCAGAATTATTGGAATGGGAACATTTATTGCAATTAAAATCTCTTGCATCTATTTTTTTTTAATTCCAGCCCAAACAGAAAGATCTCTAGTACAGCTTTTGGCAGGTAAGAGGCATGGTAGATTATTATCAAATCTAAATCATTTACAGCTGCAAGCACATTTAGATAATTGCATGGGGAGGGAAGAGCCACATGGTTTGAATAATGTCTAAATTCAATTGTATCAGGACACTTTTTGATCTGTGGTAAAGGCAACCTTTTTCTGTCTCAAAGTACTTCGTCAGTCAGTATCAGAACTAAAATGGCAGAAGCTAAGCAAATTCAGTTTTTTGTGTTCTTTGAGATGTTGCCTGGGAAGGCAGGGCGGTGAGGGGGCAGAATCCTCTCCTTGAGGACAAAATAATTCCTCAGTGAGTAGATAAGCAGTTAAGATACAGGACAGATATGATTCAATTATCTTGATTTTGCATTTGCTAAGATTTTTTTCCACTTCCACTGCAAAAGTAAAGGATACCTCAGCACTGTAAAAAGCGGGCAGAATGCAGTGAGGGGCAGGGGCAGGTTCAAAATCCTGTCGCTACCAGTTCGCTTGCTCGCTCACACGCACGGCGCTTCTGCGCATGTGCAGTAGCTTCTGGGCGGGTGGGTGGAGGCTCCAGCTGCCACCTCTGCTACCGGTTTGCCCGATCCGGTGCGAACCGGTAGCAACCCACCACTGGTGAGGGGGCTGCACCGGGATAGTCCTACTCTCAGAACAGTGTTTAAAGCACCAGACTAGAAAGTGGGAGACTGTGAGTTCAAGTCTCGCCTAATGCATGAAAGCCAGCTGGGACACCTTGGGCCAGTCACTCTCTGCAAGTTCACGTCCCTGCCCTTATTTTAAAAAGTCATTTTAGAATTAATATTATCCCCCCCACACACATACACTGAATTACAGAGTTGAAAGGGCCATTCAGGCCACCCCATCCCACCAAATGCAGAAATCCCAATGAAATCGTGTTCTGAAATCCCTTTTCCAACAGGTGCTTTCCAAAGAGTTTTTAATCTTTTCTTGTCTTTACAGGCAGCTTTTCCACAACAGCAACTTCAGCAGTAGTAATGGCAGCACAGAGGACTTATTCAGAGACAGCATAGATTCGTGTGACAATGATATCACCGAAAAGGTAAGCTGTTTCTGCATCCCTCCGAAGAAAAAACAACACTGAGGAATTGGTTGATGTACAAAAGAGAAAGGATGAAGGCATTTTCTAGATTTTTGAGCCCAAAACGGTTTGCTCTCACTGTGCTAGATCAATACAAAAACTCTGAGATTTGCAGTTGCAGCACATATTTGAATCGTTGAATATTCTGGTGAGGAATTATTGAATTATCTGGTAAGGAAGTCTGTACTTGTACAATCTAAGCTTCATTTATATGAAACCCGATAAGTGATTTAATTAGATCAAAGACAGAAGAATGGAAGAATTATGCAAAGTTTGTCTAGAAAGATAGTTTGACACTAAAGGAATGGATGAGATCCATTCTGACTTCATTCTCCTCTACTCAGTTTCGTAGGGGCTTAGCCAGCTCACATCCTATTTTCTTTTGCAGGTGACTTACTTAGAAAAAAAAGTGACAGAGCTGGAAAATGATACCGTAACAAATGGGGACCTGAAGAGCAAATTGAAGCAGGAGAATACACAACTAGTTCACAGGTAATTTAATCTGCTACCTACTCTGTCCTTTTTGCAAGTTTGCAGAAACTGGGAGCTCTCATTAGAATTCTTCAGTTTTAACTTATTTCCCGTCTGCTTTTGAAAATGAAAAAGTTTCTTACTTGAATAGGAATTGCTTGAAAACGGGGTAACATTATACAGGTAATCCTCGTCTTACAACTACAGTTGAGCCCAACATTTCTGTTGTTAAGTGAGACAGCTAAGCGAATTTTGCCCTATTTTAAGACCTTATTTGCCACAGTTGTTAAGTGAATCACTGCAGTGAAGTTAGTAACGTGGTTATTAAGTGAATCTGGCTTCCCCATTGAGTTTGCTTGCAGAAGGTTGCAAAAGGTGATCACATGACCCTGGGACCCTGCAACTGTGATAAATATGGATCATTTGCCAAGTGCCTGAATTTTGATCATGTGACCACAGAGATGCTGCCGTAGACATAACTATGAAAAACAGCCATAAGTCACTTTTTCAATGCCGTTGCAACAATGGTGAAATTCAAAAATTTTCCCTGCTGGTTCTGTGGGTGTGGTTTGGTGGCCATGTGACTGGGTGGGCGTGGTTGCACAACTGACTCACACACATTGTAAAAGCAGCTGGATTTTACACAAAATGGCCCCTGCAACAAGCAGGAACCTCACAGAGTCACAGAGAGCTCAAAAACAAACTATCACACTTTATACAAAAATAACCCAAAAGATGCACAACTGACTCACACACAATGCAAAAGCAGCTGGACTTCACACAAAATGGCCCCTGCAACAAGCAGGAACCTCACAGGCAATCAGGCACAACTGATTGTCTCACAGCTGATTGGTAGTAAAAAAATGCTAAAATAAAAAAAAAGTTCAGACATTGACCAGCACAGCTGATTGTCGCACAGCTGATCTTCAGAACTTTTTTTTTTTTAACTTTTTAAAGCATTTTTTAACTACCGGTTTGGGCAAATAGCTAGTAAAAAAATGCTTTTAAAAAGTTTTTTAAAAGTTCCGATGATCGCGCAGCATAGCTGATTGTCGTACTTTTAAAAGCTTTTTTTTACTACCAGTTTGGGTGAACGGTAGCAATTATTACTACCGGTTCGGGCAAACCAGCCTGAACCAGTAGCATTTCACCCCTGCGTTGCAGCTTTGAACAACTAAACAAATTGTTGTAAATCAAGGACTACCTAAAAACTGGTGAGAAAGCCTCCTTCAATAATGTTTTCTTTGGCCCTCTGGATTAACAGAGAAAGGTGCTCTTGATAAAGGCTAGTGAATATGCATTGTGATGGACAAAAGAAGCAATATTTTATTTTTATTTTTCCATCCAAGAAAGAAAAGGATATTTTCTAAATGTAGTCGGTAGTTTAATGTGTCAAAACATTATATCAGGTCAATGTTTTACACTGGGGAAGTGGGGCAATTTAGAGTTGGGGGCCTTCTAGAGGTTTCAAGTGATGTAATGATATCATCAGAAGAGATAGAACTAAGCGTTTTTGAACTGTTGTTTCAGAGGCTTAGGAATGGGAGGACCTGACACATTATTTGCAGAAATGTTAGTAAATGGAATATCGTGAATGTGCTCAGCAAGGGGCTGTATCTGTGGCAGCAGATTGGAGAAGGCCATATAAAGAGAAAACCCACCTTTGTAGGAAGTGCTAAATCCGGTGGATAGCTGAAGTAATTCAGATATGTTGCTCCCAAACTGAATGAAATCTGTGTGGCTTAATTACACCAGAGTGCATGAGTTAGAAGAACTGTTGAAAGACCAGGAGACTTCAGCTCAGCAGACCCTGGAAGAAGAGATCAAGAGGCACAGAGAAGCCTACAGCAAATATGAGAAGGAGAAGAGCACGGAGATTGAGCTATTAAACACACGGTAACAGCCCAGTACTGTTTTAAACTATCACTGGCTTTGTCTCAAAATGGTCAGAATGCTTCTTGATTTTTTTCCCCATTTCAGATGAAGAGTGGTTCTACATGTGCATTTGCCTTCTTTTTTCTTTTTCCCATCCAGTGGCTGAAAAGCCCACTGTTTCTAGCCAGATACTCAAAGGCAATAATTTATTTATCAAATGTACATAGCCACTCATCTTCACAAAGGTGACTCTGTGCAGTGCACAATAAAATAAGTCTCTAAAACTATTAAAACAGTTCAACATAACTATAACTAGGGCAGCATCCTACACATAATGCAGCCATCCTTATTGGTAACATCAATTGGATGGGTTTTTTTTTTATTCCAGAGATAAGAGTGACTGCTTTTAGATTTGCCTACTAAACTTTATGGCTGAATGAAGAGTAGAACTTCCCCCCCCACCCCGCTTAATTTTTATTTATTTATTAAATAAAAATAAAATAAAAGCCATCTCACTATTGGATGCTGCCCATTTCATTAATCCTAAACTATATCCAATGCTATCCATCTGAATAATCCTAAACTATACAGTCTCTCATTGGGTTTTTCAGTTTGCTACATTTGTATCATCACGTTCATTTCCTCTGGGTACTCCTATTTCTGAGGATGGCTGGGAATTTATCCCCGAGCAAGGGAAATGGAGTATGAACTCCATTCATTAAGAAGAGTGATTTCTTCAATTAAGAAGAGTGATTTCTTCAATTATTTGATGCAACTTAGAACATGAGAAAATTATTTTTTCAAAAATTCATCAGTTATTAAACAACTTGGGTACTTTCAAGAACTGATATGCGATGCTTTTACCGTTGGCTTTTCATAGGTTGCCCCTGGTGAATCAAATTTAGCTGTATCCTAGCAGAGCAGATAAACAGCTTTTGTTTTCTAGACATTCAATTACCAAACTTCTGCCTTGCCTTCAGGGTTCAGCAACTGGAAGAGGAAAACTGTGAGCTCAAAACCACTGTCCTACGACTAAAATCACAAACTGAGAAACTGGACGAGGTAACAGAGTTTGCAAATGTTTGCTATATGTCCCCCTATTCCAAGCCAGCCTGTAGTCTCAGCCTAGCCAACTTAATTTTTAATTCTCTGGGTGGACTGGTTTGTAGGTCAAGACATAGCATTCCATTGCAGCAGTACTGCTGGGATCAGGCAGTGGAAGCAAAATATATACAAAACAGTATAAAATCTTGGCCTTTAGTCCTCGTACATTGATAGGATAAACTAAGAATAATAAAATGAGGCAGAGTTGTTTAGTAGAGTTCAGGGCTTTTAAAATATACGTTGCTTCAATCTTGCATGTTATTTTTTTTAAAAAATGTTGTTACCTGAGCAGGTTTGCTGCCAGTGAGGCCAACATGTTTGACCAGAAGACCAGGAAAGGGATTTCTGAGTAGAAGCAATCATAGGAGACAAATAGGTTATCAGAGATACCTTGAGGAAGCAGCACTTAGATATACTATTGTTATCTTTTGTCTGGTCAGTTGTTTGAATTGGCTGCAACTAACACATAGATTGGCAGTATGGAAACTCGGATCCCAGATTCCTGACTCAGAGCTAATTAGGAACAGTTTGGCATTTCTTACAGAATTTGGGAAGCATCAACTTCTTAGGACAAATGGCTGTATGACGGTGCTCTGTGAAGCCAGCTGAACTAATTTACAAGTAGTATACATAGGATATCTAAGACCAAGCTATGTTGCAGAAAATGATTAAAGTAACGTCCACCACTGCTTTATGTGGGCATGTGACTTGAGTGCTTGTGAAAAATCTAGTTGTGAAGGGCAGATGTTTATGTGGCTCCCTATTTGGGGTCTGGTAGCTTTGTGTACTTTGTTCAGTAAATCATAGGTTTAGATTTCTCAGTGGCCAAGTGGGACTTGATAGTAGGGAACATACATACAATGAGTGTGTCTAAAGTTATGTGTAGTCTGTAACTAGAATTTGTTTATAGTATCAAATCATCCCCTTTCCTGTATGACTTTACAGCTCTATAGCAATGAGTACGAAAGACAAAGAAGATTCTTTGCTTGGTGTGTTTTTTTATTTATATGCCACTTTTCCTTCAGGAGCTCAAGTTTCCTTCCTTCTATCCCATTCCCCTGCTATAAAATGTAGGGTAGATAGGACTGAAAAAAGTATTGATAATTGGCTCAAAGCCATGCTATAAGGCTTCTAGGGCTGATGATGGATTACAGTCTGGGTCTCCTCAATCCTAATCCAATATTTTAACCACTACACCACATGGGCTGCCATATTCCATTCTTCAAAGAAAATCAGTAATTTCCCATAGAGTTTTCTTTATGGCAGAACATTTAAGTGAGAGCCCTGACTTTTGGCCTTACAACAAAAGAACCAAACAATCTGACATTCCCCAGTAAATACAAATTTACACTCATTACAGCATTTCCATATCAGTATCAATATCACCCATAACATTCATATTTACATAAATTCCATTTCTGTGGTTCATGATAACTTTTTATAGTTGTTGATATTCTTAGAACTGATGCTATAGGTGCTCTAATTAACAAATTTCCGTGCTAACATAGCATTTTGTGGATTAAGAGTTAGTGTAAATGCTGTTGGAAAGGAGTAAGTAGTATATCGTCTTTCTTGCAAGGGATATGAATGTAGGTCAGTCAAAGGAAGGCAAAATGGTTATGTGTAAAAACATTTCTGTTCGCCTTCTTGTATGGAATTGAGAATTGATTGCACTGGGAATGACTTAAGAATGTGTGGTAAAACTAGAAGAGGTATCAAGAATGAAGGGGTGCTGTATGAACATCGAATGAATAGAGAAAAGAGTAAATAGTATGTTCAGATGGTTTGAGGGAATGATGAAGTTGCAAAACATGAAAAAAAAACCCAAGGGGAACAGTAAGAAAGTCATGGTTGGACAGAGTTGGCAAGATCTTCAAAGAGAAAGAGGTGTACAGTTTACAGAACAAAAGGCAATACAGCAGTCTTGTTGACATTTAGAAAAAAGCCAGCCATTGTCTGTCTTGTTTTGCAGATCCCAAACGAACGTATTGCATGAACTGAAGTGAGAATCTGAGGGCTGAGCAACAGATTGCATAGCTTAGATATGTTTCTCTTCTCAAAGTTCTGAAAAGTTGAACAGACCCGCATTTCAGAAATTTTTCCCATGTTGGAAAGAATTAACCTGCTTGCCTGAAAGATTCTAAACCTACCATGATGGTTTTCTACATGCCTATGCAAATTTCTTCCATCAACTCCCTGAAATGATAGTTTCCTGTACATTGAAAACTACCATTAGAATTGCTGGCAGTCTGTAACCTTCTTTTCACGTTCATCAGGAGAGGCAGCGAATGTCTGACAGATTAGAAGATACCAGTCTGAGGCTGAAGGATGAAATGGATTTGTATAAAAGGATGATGGATAAACTGAGGCAGAACAGGCTGGAATTTAACAAGGAGAGAGAAGCCACTCAGGAGGTTGGTAATAATTTTGGTGGCATAACAACCAGTACATCTTCTGTGTCCCCTCTTAATGCTGATGTTTTACACTAAAATATCATATTTTCAATATAAATAAAAAATGTAGTTTTAAAACCTGCATGGTGGCTTCCCTTGTGTCACTGAAGCAGGGGTGTTAGGAATGATGGCTGGCTAGCAACCATTTTCAAAAATAGCATTCCTAAAAACCTCAAAGCCCTTTCAGATATGGTACAGTGATTATTCCCAGAGGATGGCATTGCGGTTTCATGGTGATAAATCTAGAAAGTTGAAACTTGAATTGACTAAAATTGAAATTGATTGAAATTGAAATTGTTCCTTGTATGGCAGCCTTCTCATTTATTTATTTATTTATTTATTTAATTTGTACACCGCCCTTCTCCAACAGGACTCAGGGCGGTGAACAGCCACAGTAAAACACAACATATAAAATTTCTCATGTATGCACTCTGTTATGACATTTCTTTAGACAGCTTTTAGGCTTAAAAAAAGACCTGTAAAATACTGCCCTTGAGTTTTTTCCATCCTTGATTTTTGTGACTATTTTACTTGTCTTGTAATGTCTTTTCCTGTAATGAAAAAAAATAGTTAATATTTCTAATACTGCCCAATAGCAGATGTCCTCTGAATGATGTACGATTGTTTAAAGCATACACAAAATCAGCCTCTAAAAAAGAGCAGATGAAAAAGAATACAAAACAAGTCTGTGTAGTAGCTGCCTGAAGCAATACAAAAATATGGAATCTTTTGTAGAGAACAACACAACAGATAAGATAAAAATCAGAAGCAGCAAAATCAATGGCAATAAATGGAACATAAAATAACAACAAAATAGTCATAAAACACTAAAGGTGTAAAATCTTTACAGTGAAGATTCTTAAAGGAAACTCCACCATGCAAACTGCACAATGCCAACTCCCCCACCGATTGCCATTCATCTTGCCTCGTTGGACATAGGAAGCTGAAGAAAGGCCTCAGGAGAAAATCCAGGCTCCAGATAGATAACCTGGATCATGTTTAACCTATAAACCTTTAAATGACTTAAAGCCAGGACATCATCTTCAATAAGTCAGTTAGGGGTTTAAAGGTTAATAGGAATAGATTATTATACAAAACCTGGAAGTAGACTGACAGCCAGTGCCATGGTACTCATTCAACTAGTCTCTGCAAGCAACCTAGCTGTGCTCTGTTTTGAACTAACTGAATTTTCCAGATCATTTCAATAGCCTGAACAAAAGGTTGCCATCATAGGAACAACCATTGCAATTTTGGTTCAGGTACTGTCATAACTAGTACGGGTAGTCCTCGACTTACAACCACAACAGAGCCCCAAATTTCTGTTGCTAAGTGAGACAGTTGTTAAGTGAGTTTTGCCCCGACCTTTCTTGCCACAGTTGTTAAGTGAATCACTGCAGTTAAGTTAGTAACACAGTTGTTAAGTGAATTTGGCTTCCTCAATTGACTTTGCTTGTCATAGAAGGTTTGACCCCGGGACGCTGCATCAATATGAGTCAGTCGCCAAACATCCGAATTTTGATCACGTGACCATGGGGGAAGCTGCAATGGTTGTAAGTGTGAGCAACAGTCAAGTCACTTTTTTCAGTGGCGTTGTAACTTTGAATGGTCACTAAAAGAACGGTTGTAAGTCGAGGGCTACTTGTAACTCAACAAAAGGTCAGCAGTGAAGTCAAGAACACATCCCTACGCTCTTCATGTTCCTACAATTAGGTTTTAGCTTTAATCAGCCAGAATTGGCTTTGTGCCCCAGATTACCCTAGCCACAATGGTTCCTTATGCCCTGCTTTTTTTCTGCAGCTCATTGAGGATCTGAGAAAGGAGCTGGAACACCTTCAGTTGTATAAGCTTGACTGTGAGCGTCCCGGTCGAGGAAGAAGCTCTTCCAGCTTGAGTGAATTCAACGCTAAGACGAGAGAAGTGGAAATGGAACATGAAATTAAACGTCTAAAACAGGTGAGGTACAGCTAGAGAAGGAGGGAGCAAAACGAACCTTCTCTCTCCAAAAGAGTAGGAAGCCAAAAGATTTCTCAACACTCCCCCCCCCCCGAGCTTTTGTTGGTCTGCAATTACAAATGCCTCCTTTTTGCCAAAGTTTTCAGCATGTGGATTTTAACATTCACAAGGCTATGGATAAGACCTGACCATAACATTTACCTGGGGTCATGGGGAGTCGTCCGTCAACAACTTCTATCAGGGCACAGATTTTCCACCTCTTTTCTGCTTATAAGCTTGCAGCTCCTCTATTTTTATTGTCCCGCATGGCCATGAAACTATTCAGCTTGCAACTGTGTTTTGTGGTTGCCAAATAGAGCAAAGCTTTTACGTGCACTTTATTTCACCTTAATGAAACCACGGAGGGCCTACGCAAAAGCCGTGGGACTGGATGTGGGAAACCTGTTTTACATTTTCTGTTTAAAATCCTGGTTCTGCCGATTTGATTGAAAAACAACGCAGAACATTACTGAAATTGAAAAGGATCACCCCCTCCTGTAGCAAAGTTTCAAATCAAGTCCTCCCCCCTCCCCCCAAAAAAACCTTATTAGAGATGATTGTCAGTTTTCCCTTATTTCTCCTTTCTTGCTCCGAGTAACAGGAGCAGTTATTTGGGGAAAAGTTGGTATTACATGTCACCCTGAAGGCAAACTACCATATTTTTTGGAGTATAAGACACACTCCCCCCCCAAAAGAGGGTGGAAATGTTGGTGCGTCTTATACACTGAATACAGCCATTTTTGGCCTCCCGAAGCCCTGCCCCACTTGTCCCATATTTGTGAAAAATGGGCCTGTTTTTCGCAAAAACAGGGTGTGCAGAGGGTTTGGGAGGCCTGCAGAGTGCTCCTGGGGGCTGGGGAGGGCTGCACGCCACTTTTTTTGCAAAAGTAGGCAAAAAATGAACCCATTTTTGCAAAAAAGCAGGGTGTGCAGAGGGTTTGGGAGGCCTGCAGAGTGCTCCTGGGGACCGGGCAAAAAATTTTTTTTCTTACTTACCTCTTCGAAATCTTGATGCGTCTTATACACAGGTGCATCTTATAGTCTGAAAAATACGGTACTCTTTTTCCTGCAGCAATAGATAATCTGGTAAACTCAGCAGTTAGTTTCCTCGAAAGAGGTGAAGAACTTACATATAGACTTCCTTTTCAGAATATTTGTAATGGTAGAGCTTAGAGGTCGGGGGGGGGGGCAGAGAAGGGAAATTAGCAAATGTTCATCTGAAGTTTTAGTTTAGTTTAGTTTAGTTTAGTTTAGTTTAGTTTAGTTTAGTTTAGTTTAGTTTAGTTTAGTTTAGTTTAGTTTAGTTTAGTTTAGTTTAGTTTAGTTTAGTTTAGTTTATTTGTATACCGCCCTTCTCCCGAAGGACTCAGGGTGGTGAATAGCCATGATAAAACCCTTAAGTATCCTTAAGGTGCTAAGCGAATGGCTCCTTGTTTGCCTTTTGTATGTGGGCGTCTGTGCAAATGCCTTCAAGTTAGTCTTCAAGTCCCGGCGACTGCCTGGACAGGTCCTGTAGCTTTCTTGGCTAGATTTTAGAAGTGATTTGTGCGTGCCTGCTTTTTAAGGTTGAGAGAGAGAACAGAATGGGACAACTCCCCATGGCCAATTCGTCACGGTCAACTCCCTAGGGCCAATTCACCACAGGACAGCTCGCAGCAGGACAATTCAACAATTCAATTTAATTATTTAAAATCATTTTTAAAAATAATTTTTATTTTTGTCATTTACATTTCATTTTGTCCCTCCTTTGGCATCCTTTCTTTAATGTTTTCATCCCACCATTTCTTCGATATTAGTGTAACTCTCGTCCCGCGGTGAATTTGCCATGGCAAATTGTCCCGTGGTGAGTTGGCCATGGCAAGTTGGCCGTGATGAGTTGGCTGTGGTGAGTTGTCGTAGACCCAGAGAGGGACCAGCCCAAGATTAGCCAACTAGCTTTGTGCCTAAGGTAGGACTAGAACTCACTGTAACCAGGCGCCTTAATCACTTAATTCTTTCCTTCCTCTCTTGACAGGAGAATCAAAAACTCCATGACCAGAACGATGACCTCAATGGGCAAATCCTTAGCCTCAGCCTTTATGAAGCTAAGAACCTTTTCGCAACGCAGACAAAAGCCCAGTCACTGGCAGCTGAGATTGACTCTGCCTCCAGGGATGAGGTAAAGGGACCAGTAGCAATTTGCTACTAGTTAAATGTCTGGGCTGGTAAAAATATCTCTCAGCAATCAACTTGGCAAAAACCTAACTTGGTGGGGAACTCTTGACATTTGAAAATCATGGTTTAGAAGTGCCACATTTGCTTTATTTTGGTTTGACATCAGCATATAGAGGCACTAAGCTAAGGCATCAGAATTGGCTAAAATTCTCAACATTTTATTTTATTTCTCTTGTGTCGTACTTTTATACAACCAAACTTATTTTTCATTGAAAATTGTTTCTGTGCACCGCTCTAGGAATTGTTCAGGAGAATTTCCTGAATCTTGGGGCTACCATACCTGGGCTGCAGAAATCTGTATGACTACTGGGTGGCAGCAGAGAGATAAAAAATGCAACAATCTAGAATTAGATACCATGGGGTTCCCTTATACTGCCTTTCCTTCAACCTGTCTCCTCTTTTTTTTCTTTCTTTCTAGTATTTCATTTCCAGTCTGAATTGATTTGGCTCACAGCATTTTGATTTAGCTTTCTGTCCTTTGTGCAGCAACCCCATCACACATTCAGGAAGTTATTCTTGGTGCCTTTGTTTTTTTTAAAAAAAAAAAATCTGGTGCAAGTAAATCTTGAGCAAAGATTGTGAGATTTCAAATACTGTAGTGTGAAGATGTAACTGGGCAACTGTGTATTTACAGAGCACGAATAGTGTTTGCCTTAGCTATTCTGGGCGCATGGAAAGCAATGTTATCAAATGTAAGTTTCTCATTTTAAAAGAAGTGAATGGTCCTTGGCATGAGTCAGGCTTATTTTTAACTCTGCCTTAGTTGTTACTCAGTGTGCTGAGCTAGGTGACCGATAGGAATTATAGGTGAGATCTTGGAGAGGAGCAGAGCCCAGGTTGAGCGTGCTGATAAGCTCATGGTAACCAATGCAGTTTGTGGAGCTGAGGTGTAATACCGGTATATACTGCTCTGGGAATGCATATAACTGCTGCACTCCTGCATTCTGTGACCAACTGAAGCTAAGGCACACTTCAAAGACAATTGCAGTAGTTCAATCTAGAAATGACTAGGGCAAGAGTGACTGTAAGCAGGATCTGCAGATCTAGGTATGGGTGCAACTGTGACAAAGTGAGCAAAGGGCCTCCTAGCCACAACTTCCACCTTAATAAATGTGTGCACCAACCCCTAATAGTTCAAAGGCAGTGGCCAGTGGCAAGATTCTAGGAGTTGTCCAAAAGTTCTAGAGGACATTAGGGTGGTTTTCCCTCTTGAGAAGACAGATGACTGTATCCATCTCATATGCCCAAGAATTGAGACTCATACCAAAAATATAAATTGATTCTCAGTGGCTTCCAATACGTTTCTGCATAAAAGAGCGTAAATTAACTGAGGCACAGGGATGGGGTGATGCCTCTGCTCGAAAACACAGTGTTGAATTCATTGTGGTTTCAACAATTTGTAGAACGAGGGTGAAGAAATAGCCACCTTCCATCCATCCAAATGAATCACCATTAAAATAATCCGGAAGGAAAAATATGCTGAAAAAAACTTTTGAAATACAGGAGTACACTGGTACAATGGACGCAGAGGCTCTCGGGAGTAGCTGTGACCCCAGAGGATTTCTTAATCTTAATTCTTTTTCATTTCAGCTTATGGAAGCCCTCAAAGAACAGGAGGAGATCAACTACAGATTGCGCCAATATATGGACAAGATCATCCTGGCCATCTTAGACCACAATCCATCCATCCTGGAAATAAAAAATTGAAGATTGGGGTGGGAAGGGAGGTGGGCAGATAGGATGCCTTTAGATTCAAGTATCTCTATTTGCTATGTATATGAACTTATAAATATATACATATATATAACTCTCTCAATACACACGACATACAAAATACAAACACACACACATATATATATTATATATATATATATAAATAGAAAAAAACTTGTGTGGATACACAGGGCGTGTTTATATGAGCTTAGTATATTTTGTGACTCATAATTTGCATCGATCCATTTTCCATGCCCTTTCTCTGTGGGGATGCTAGGGATTGTAATTGAAAAATCACGAAACTGGATTTTGCACTGTTTTAAGATACTGGACAGAAAAAAAAAATGATACTACCTCTAGATGAAAAGATAAAACACGATGGAAACTAACTTGTGCCAGGCCTTTTCCTAGCCTACAAACAATACTGAGTGTTTATGTCTTATGACTTGCCTCCCTGTCATCATCTCGGAAATATCTTGTATTATCAGGTTGAATTCTCACTGGTGCTGCTGGCTGTGTTGTTTTAACTTTGCCCGAGTTATGCTTCTGAAGTCCTCTCCTTGGATCGGAATGTATGTATGGTATTCCAGAAAATTGACAAGTTTCTGCTTGAACCTGGGCTGTTTTAATCAGAAAGAAATTTCTACATCTCGAACCCAATTGGCTATGAATCCTTTGGGGTGGTGACCAGTCTATTGTATTCCAAGGGAATCAGGGGTAGCCAAGAAAACAGTGGGTCCTGGGGTTCCATATTTTCTTGAACTTATCAGACTATTCCTGAGATGCTTTTTCTGGCTTTGGGTTTTATCGCAAGATCACCAAGGACCTGGGAGACCTGGGATCGTAAATGTGGGATGCATCGGGGCTACAAAACAGTCCCAGCCGTGTTTCAGTTTCAGCAACAGCATTAAAAAGTGGTACTTGCACAGAGCTATTTGGTTCCACACAAACGGTTTGTTCATTGATGAGAACTCAGGGCTGTCACCATAACAAATAGAAGCCAATTGTTTTTAAATCACTTTGTTTTATATTGCTTCATGGCAGCATTTGCAAAAGCACCCTCTGCTAATAAAGCAGTTAAGAAATGGAGAAAGTTTGGGCTTTTTTAGGCATTTTGTGGGTGACACTGACCCTGTTCTTAGAGACAAGGCAACATTTTAAATTGTTTTTTTACAGGTTTAGGAAAAAAGTGTTTGTTTATAGACGCTAATATTTATTTGATGCAATTTTGGAGTTTTACTGAAAAGTTTTGCCTACTTCACTGGGGGTGATTAGCACAGAAAAGCCAGAAACGACTGTTCATTGGGCATCACAGCTTCCTGCAGTTACAGGAAAATACTCAGCTCACTTTGTGCCATCAATAAATATTCTCACATTGATTCAGGCTGTTCATGTCTTCATGTCTCTTGCCCTTGCTATCATCATCACCACCACCTCTTCCTCCTCCCTTTTTCTTTTCAGTTTTGCTTCTGTAACATAAGCATTCGTTTTCAGAGCAAATCCTCATGACGTTTTGTATATCACTACCCAGGCATGCTCTAAAGAAATCTGTAAAGTTAAGTGAAGGCTTGTGCAGGGACCATGGCAGGAATGAGTTTTGTCTTTTCACTTAAAGATTTGTCCATTCCTGTCTGAGATGTGTTTTGATTAAACAAAAACAAAAACAAAAAAACCCCAGGCTTTATGTGCATTGCAGTAATATTCTGGTGCATGAATATGTGCAGTCACATGCATGTGAGAGAAGACGAGTGTGTTATTCTGTAATGACTTGTGTGCAGGCTTCATGGTCTTCCCACACCAAAGGTAGGCGCAAGATATCCTCCCTGGATATCTGCATTACAGTTCCATAAGCCCTGTTCAGTATAAGTGGTCCAAGTATGATGTGATCTCTAAAAATATCTAGGAAGCCCCAAGATTGCCTTTCCCATCACACGTGAAAGGGAACTGCATGCTCTGTGTAATGGATAAAAAAACTCTATTGGTTCATATGTATTTTCTTTCATAAGCACATTTCCACTTTCAAATTAAGCTCTGTTTTTTTTTTCCCTCCGTGCGGTGTCCTGAGTAAAGTTTGCGTAATTAATTTGAGAGTCTCTTCAAAGAAAAAGATTGAATCTGAGGTTACTGTATCAGTTGAAGCTTCTAAGGATTGAAACCCGTTTCCAAATTATGTGTCGGGATGGTATATAAATTATAACATTATGTTGTACTTAAGTATTTCACATTCAAACAAGTGTTTCTGCAGAAGTATAAATCTCATGGGGGGGGGACACTGTGCATGTGGGGTCACAGCCTTGTGTTTATTGGCTGTGTTTTCTTATTAGCAAGAGCGCTAATAGTTAACGCGAGGTGATATTTGCTAGAGCCAGCCATTACTTTTTACTCAACATCTCAACTTGTTCTAATACCTCCTTTGCTTTTGACCTTCTGCATTTGGTGGGAATGAAACTGAATCCATTGCATCACTACCTCCTTTTTAGGTAGTCAAGTCACAATCAAATACAGGGGAATCCTAAATTCTTTTCCCAATCAGCTTGCATAGGCTGGAAGGAATCCTGCTCCTGAAGGAACCACATTCCCCCGCTTTTCTACAATATCTACCCCAGCAACACGTCCTTTCTCTGCTTGGGAAGGGAAGTTGATACTTTATGTAACAACCACAGACCTCTGGAGAATTTATGTTTTCATGGGTTGCTTTTCAAGAGTGAGGTTAAGGCTACTTACTCCAGCTTGTTTTTGGTTTATCCTGCTGATATTTTAAATGGTGAGAGAGAGAGGAGTTGATGACTTGGGGCAGGAAGCAAAATGTATCTGAATGTTCTTGAAAGCTGAAAGAATTGGGCATGTTGACTTTGGAGAAGATTGAGGGGGAGAAGTTCTGAGAGAGAGACAGAGGGAAATCTCCAGGAGTTAGGAGGTGAAGAGGTGAATGGATAGAAACTGAAGGAAGGGTTTCATATGAAACACAGGAATAATTCTGACTGAGGAGAGCGAAGTGGTTTCCAAGAGATGGCAGAAAGGCAGATGATTAAATTGGTTTGGATTAGCAAGCATTGAGGGAAAGAAATCTTCCCAATGTGGTGCCTCTTAGGTCAATGATGCATCTCACGGTAAACTATCATCCAGTCTTTCCAGAAAGCACCAAGTTGAGAAAGGCTGGATTAGATAATCTGATTCCCTTATAAATCAGGGGACTGCATTAAATCCTCTGCTACCAAACCTCAATCCACACATGGTTGTCTTTAAATGAGTCTTTGTGTCCATTTGCTTTCTTCTTTTCTCATAGATGACCCATAGAAATTCTGAAGCAATGTTTTGGTGATGTTTCTAAGAGCCAACAATTTCTTTAGCTGGTTTGTTTGTTTGTATTTATATGACTGCCTTTGCTTTAGCACAACAGGTTGTGAGAAATAAATGCAGATATCCGAGGCCTGCTTGTCAGCATAGCTTGTTTAGAATTCATGTACCTGGACATAAGTTTCTACGAATGTTAACATTTTCCAGCATGACTTTAGATCAGGAGCTGTTGAAAAAGGCTCTTCTGATGAACATGTTTGACCAGCAGTACAACATTGTGTTATAATGCAGTAATAAGGCCAAAAAGGAGGGGCCATAGCACATTAACAGAGGGTAACTGTTTACTTATGGTTGAATATGATGGGACCTTTTGAGACAGGTCCATTTACATGCCTCTGAGCCAAGGCTGCAAGAGTTGGGTGTCTTTAGTAGTGGAAAATGGAAGCAGGGTGGATTGCTGGATTATATTGAAACTATAACTGATAGGCCTCTAGCTGAGAGAAAGTCACTATTTCTGAATAGGTATGGATACATTTGTGCTATACAAAAAAAGATTGCCATGCAGGACACAAAAAGGAGTGTTGCTAGTTAAAATTGAGTTTAATCTGTAGGCGCAAAACTTGTTTGCTAGGAAAAGTGTCCTAATTTTAAAGTTTACAGATGTTCCCAGTGAATTGCAGGATCTTTATCACTGGAAGTGGGTTTTTTTTTTAAAGATTTCAGCTGCTAGGAATTTTGGAAGTTCACATATTTTAGAGGTTACCCCAGTAGGGACAAGTTTCAAACAGTAGTTCTCATTCTACGCTCAAAAGAACACAAGGTTTTATTTGCAGTGGTTCCTTAAGTAAATTTCTGTCACTGTCTGTTGAGCAAAATAATTTGTCAGCTCCTGTAGATCACCAGTGCAAGGTGCATGTTGTAAAGAAGTCAGCCTAATCCATATGCAAACCTGAGTATGAGAGGCTGCTAAATAGATAGGAATCACTTTTAGCAAATGGGATTTATTAATGGGAATCTACCAATAGTTCGTTTTCTCAACATAATTTCTCATCACACTGTCAGAACACTTTTATGCTTGCTTAGATTAAAGTACATTAGTATATGCTTGTCTATTGAGCCAGGATTTCTTGTGTATTTATACAATGGGGCAAGGCACTGATGTAACAATCCAAACATAGTTAGAACAAATAGTTTGCTTTCACCTGATCCAGCGGCTTTAATAGAACTTCAGAATTCTGCTAAGGTTGAGGAACAGCTGGTTGAAACTGAGACACTTGGTTCTCACTCTCCCTTATTGGTTCTCGTCCCTACTTGTAGTTGTTGGGAGTGCCTTCAATCCAGTTTGTATTCTGTGAAAGCAAAAAAGAACAACTGCTTCTGTAAAGGCAACAAGAGTTCACTGGGCAACAATTAATCCCTGAGGTTAAAACAGTAACTTTCAAAACTTTTAGTAGGATTTAAGACATCCTGACCACCATGGATCTTACACTAAAGTTGTAGATTTGATTTTCCCCCCCATTGAAATCATGAATACAGTTGCATATTACATTGGACAGGATACATTTGAACTGCTCTACTTTGAATTCTACAATATGGGACGTTTAGTCCTGTATCCATTATTTAAAATTGTGAATTTTAGGAAAGCATTATTCATCTGGGCAACAAATGAACTAGAAATTTCCTATCCAGTAGTCTATGTACTAGGGCACAAGCTTAAATCTCTCAATGAAAACTAAAATGTTATCAAAATACGTTTAATTTTAAGAAATGATCAGTCAGTCTGAATTCCAAAACTCAGATTCTGAATTTTAGCTTTCAAATAATGATAGAAGCCTTGACAACTATTATCTGGCTTTTGAGTTTTCAGTTATGGGATATGAGGAGAAAGAAAATAAAGAGAGGCTAAAACAAAGTTGTAGGTTTTAAATCTGAGCTGCTGCTGATATTTTGGCTTAAATAGCATTGGTGGCTCTTCTTCCTTTAGGACAAAGAACTGGCTGCACATATTCTTCTCGTTTCTGCATTCCCAAAGCAATGATCACCTGTAGCTAAATTTTGTTTCTGGCAAAGTGAGGCCCTTGTAGCAACCCCCTCTTTGGCTGATAAACGAGATCAAGTTGACTTTCCTTTGGCTGTGATTGTATTTCTGGCAAGAAAAAAAGATATAGCTTCGTTGGAACCCGAGATAGGAAAAACGAGTGTGTTATTCCCCATTCTTGTACTTCTGAAGTGGCATGTCAACACCTCAGAATTACAGATAGCGGCTGTTCAGAATGCCCATGCATGTACATAAGTAAGATGACAAGAGGAAAAGATTGGAACACTTCACCATTAAAGACCAGAGCTATAATTATGCAAATCCTCAGTTCAGATTTATCATTGCTCACCCCAACTTATGAAATTAGTGAGCTGGTCTTTCAAAATGAGCAGAGCAAGAAAAAAAATAAGCATCTTTGATCTGTATGTTACAAGGCAGTAGCTATGTTCAATTTCCAATGTGTTTTGGTACTGATAGAAATTGAGAATTGCTGTATTTTTTTATTGTGGGAACCACTATTGTAATTTCGCTTTATTGCACAGAATGTAGTTATGTGTAAGGATTGGATTTTTTTTAAAAAAAAAATATTTTGCATGATTTTAGTATTTTTGTGCCTTCTACTTGACTTTGTACAGAATTCATGTCTATTGAAATTCATGCTATTGGCCACAGGTTTTATATGTTCGAAGTCTTTTATTTTTATCCGATCTTTATTTTGCCATCCCTACCCGAACAATCTACTGTAAATGTGTATATATAAAATAGAACTAAGTTTGTATTTCATGTGCCTCACTAGAATGTAAAAACAAAAAAGATGTATTTGTTTTGTACAGAATGTCTTTCTTTTACTTAGATGCACTAATTTTTGTCTGAGCACATAGTGAAATAACTGGTTAGCTCTATTTTCTTTTAGCATTGCTATGTTAAATGGAATTATCTCTTGCCCTTTTGTAAAAATTCAATTCACATTCATTCGCTGTCACATACACAAACTATGATCCTTCCTGATTTGTTGTCTTTATTTATAATGGGTTGTATCATTTATGCCCCGTTTTAGAGTTTACAGCAAATTAAATTGATGGCTTATCCTAACTAAATATATTATTTATTTCATTCTAAGAGGGATTGTGAAGTTTCCTGACTTTGTGTCAAATAAGTTGAAGCAAAATCTCCCTCAATTAAATATTGAGTTCCAAGGCCCTTCTCTCAGCTTCAGTTGCCTTCATTTATCCCACCACAAGGGAATAATTCTCTTGCCTTAACTTGTAAGATTGCTGAGTTAATAAACTATGTTGAATGCCAGAAAAATATACTGCAAATACTTAAAATATTTGCCAGCTTTCAGGAGTGATTTTTTTGCAGTGGGGAACAAAATTGCATTACTACTCTGAATATTATGGTACATTGCCTTACACCAAACTTTGCTCACTGAAGCTCAATCAGCTTTACCTGTTCTAATGGCTTTGATGACAGTGGCTTTCTAAAATGGCAGAGAAAGCTTTCCTGTTGCCTGATGTTTTTTTTTTGTTTTTTTTTTAATTTGATTTATATGCCACCCTTCTCCGGAGACTCAGGGCGGCTTACAATGCGTTAAGCAATAGCCTTCATTCTTTTGTATGTTTTATACAAAGTCAGCTTATTGCCCCCACAAACTGGGTCCTCATTTCACCTACCTTAGAAAGGATGGAAGGCTGAGTCAACCTTGAGCCTTGGAGAGATTCGAACCAGCAGAAATTGCAGGCAGCTGTGTTAATTACAGGGTGCACTAAACCCCTGTACTATCAAGGCTCATTTTCACCTTAATATGCCAGTTTAGTACGGAATCCTTTGCCAAGTGGCGCATAACTTCAGAGTTAGGATCTCATTATTGCATTAGTTAATGTTCCTCAGTGGTATAACCAAATCTGTCCCCAATTCAGAATAATTTTTGAAACTTCTGGGATTTTCATCAATGTTTTTAAGACTGTATGCTGATAATTTATGAAGAACAGGGTTTTTTTTTTTTTAAAAAAAAAACATCTCTTATGGGTCTGCCTTAACTTGAACTTAACTCAGGATTTCTCTGGAAAACTCACTAGCGGTACATAAATGCAAAAGCACACTCCAGCTTGTGTCCAGCATCTGAAATGGAGACAACCTCCAAACTACAATTTATGGGGTTCATACATGCCATGCCATAAATAAGGCAGAGTTTGGCTTTGCATTATGTGTGTGAAATCAAACTGTGTAAAGAGGAGAGGACAAAAAAGGCCAAGAGACTGGTGGCTTTTTAAAAACCTGTCCCATCCTGGCTTTTTTAAAACCTGTCCTGAGTGTTGCTGCTGTAAGCCAGGAGTCTCCAAATTTGGCAACTTTTTAAGATTTGTGGAGTTCAACTGGACTTATCCATGCTGGCTAGGGAATTCTGAAAATCCACAAGTTGCCAAGTTTGGAGACGCCTACTATAAACCAACCTTCCTGTTCTCATGAGTAGAAACGGGAAGAATCATCACCTCCTACGCCAGTGAGATTTCCATTGGAATATAAATTGCACATCTTGGATTGCCACATTGCTGGCTGAGTATACAATAGTTCGTTAGGATGTCAGGAGCTTGGAGGGGATATGAAGATGCATTTTAAAAGGCTTGCTAACGCTAACATTGGCATCCTTCAGTCTCAAGAGACTATGGTATCGTGCTCTGGAAAGAGGTCCTAAAACAACATCTAGTGTGACTAAAAAGGCCAATTTGAGAGTGGCAATCCCTTCCACACTGAGGGCAGATACATTCTGTCCCCTGCCCAGCCCCCAGATTTCGCTGGTTCTGGGACTGCCTCTTTGCCTCAGCCTGCCAAACAAGTGTCTCTTCGAATTGGAGAAGGCCATGCTGCGTGTTTAGCCTCCAAGCTGAACGATCGGAGGTCAAGGTTTCCCAATTGTTAATGTCCATTCCCAGGGCCTTTAGATCCCTCTTGCAGATATCCTTATATCGCAACTCCCTCTGAGGCGCTTTCTCTGCACTAATTCTCCATACAGGAGAGGCTTGCAAGAACCTTTTAAAATGAACCTACTAATATTTTGGCCCCACAGCTACCAAATCAAGATAAGACTCGAACATTTATGAAAATGGGGAGATTCACACTAACTCCCAAACAAAATGAGAATTTTACGTATACTCATACAGATTTCCAATTTCTGTGGCAACATTTACTACAGAAGGAAAAGCTCCCTCATCACAGGAACCTGCCATCTGATCAAGCAATTCTGTCCAAAGATTTTCAGGGTGTGAACATGACTGTCAACAAGTGTGAATGCCAAGACTTAGAGCTATTAGAAAAACGCTGCAGTCTGGGGACACACCATTATAATACATTCCCCCCCCCTTTAAAAGTGGGAAATGTAACTGTACGGTACCTAGGTTGGATGAAATTATGTGTAACAGTAGAGTTCAATTTTTCCACCCACCACCATCATGTTAGGAAAAAATAGGTGCTTCTAAACTCATGTATGAGATCAGAAATTACTTCCAAAAAGTTCAAAATACTTGAGCAGCTCGCGAGAGAGGCTTTGGATTCCAATCTTACCCAAGATTTACTTTGGTCAATTTCAGTAGGGAATTTGATTAGGATCTAATTAAGAACACGTATCCAAACCCAGTGATGGTTCATTAGGCCCTTTTTCAAGACAGTGGAACCTCAACAGATCACCCCCATTTCATTTTTCCACTCCTGGGGCAAATCTATTGTCCCACAGGATACATATGGCTGAACTAAACTCTAATCAGATCTACATAAGACACAGATCTACATAAGATACCACCATTCATATAGTGACTATTTAAAGGAACAACAGCACTGAAAAAAATTGAGAGGATTGTTTTTCACATGTCTGTTGTAGCATTCCCATGGTCATGTGATTAAAATTCAGACGCTTGGCAACTGTCATGTATTTATGACAGTTGCAGTATCCCAGATTGTGTGATCACTTTTTGAGACCTTCTGACAAGCAAAGTCAATGGGGAAGCCAGATTCACTTATAACTATGTTACTAACTTAACAACAGCAGAGATTCACTTAACAACTGCGGCAAAAAGTCGTAAAATGGGGCAAATCTCACTTAACAACTGTCTTGCTTAACAATGGAAATTTTGGGCACAGTGGTTGTCGTACATCGAGGACTACCTCTACATGTAAACATATTTATTCAGCATCAATGTTCTGCAGGATAAGAGCTTTCCTATTAACAAACATGGCTATACCATGGTATCTGCAATATTGGCAGGGAGCCCAGGGACCCAAAGAGATTGAAATCTTTTGAAGTGCTATTTGGTGATCTTACCATCCATCCATCGCCTACGTAGCTGAAATTCTTAAAATGTTTAACAAGCTACATTATTTTCTATTCTGACTTTTGTTCTCAGTTTTCCAGGTACCAATTTAGTCCTTGTCACTAATCTTTCTATCAGAAAAAGGTAGCCCTTAATCTGTGGAGGCAAAATAATTTATCTGCTATCTACACTACTGTTTAGTCACTGGCTAGGTTCGTGCATTGTGCTGGACCAAAACATGGTTCATGCAGCTGGATTAGAGTGTCAAACAGCTGGATTTATTGAGACAACCATGGTTGGAGCAAACCAACACAATGTTTGAACCCAGTTATTCTCACATAATTAGAGTTGATCCGAACCAAAGGCCACAGCAGAAGTTAGAATCCTACAGCAGCAGTGGTGAGATTCAAATTTTTTTTACTACTGGTTCTGTGAGCGTGGCTTGGTGGGCGTGGTAGGGGAAGGATACTGTAAAATCTCCATTCCCTCCCTATTCCATGGGAAGGTTACTGCAAAATCCCCATTTCCTCCCGATCAGCTGGGACTCGGGAGGCACAGAATAGATGGGGGCGGGGCCAGCCAGAGGTGGCATTTGCCGGTTCTCTGAACTACTCAAACTTTCCGCTACTGATTCTCCAGAACTGGTCAGAACCTGCTGAAACCCACCTCTGTACAGCAGTTCAAAAACCCAAGTTGTATTTCATTATTCATGATAATAAAATGCTAATAAGAGCATACCTTACCATGGCACAGTGTATTAGGCAAACAAGCAGTTTGTGCACTTTTATTCCCATTTTTGCAGAGAGAATAGGATACAGAATCCAACAACCCATTCATCTTTTGCAAAAGCCTGCCCTTTCTCAGCATAGTTTGATCTGTATATTGCCAAAAGGTCATTGAGAGAAAATAAAATTGGCAGCTAATTGTCTTCTAATGTGACACTATTATGTCAGGGTTCTATTTGAATGAGCCTGTTGGAATTTAAAATATTTCCTGAAATGAGTTGGAAAATACTAAGCCAATGCCTCAAAAACAGTCTTTTTATTTTTGGGGAGGTTACTCCCAAATGATGCCTTAGAAATTGTTGCTCAGAATCATAAGCAAGTATTATTTGGATTGACTGTTCATCCCTCACTATCACCAATATAACTCTTGATTTATTTTTCCCAGTGAACCTTTGGTCATCCTAATTGCCTGTGCAACCGAAGGAGTAACACAAAAACATAGTTAAAGAAAACAAAGCTCCTGTGTTTGGACTTGTCTGAGGCTACGACCTAAATATATATCTAATTCTGCTGCCTTTGGGAACCTGCCATATTTGTGGAACAATTTTTCTTTAATAAAAAAAAACCTTTACATTGTCAGCAGCTCCATCAAACTGATCTATCTATCCAACCACCAAATAGGCTAACAATTAGAATCTCAGTTTTGTAGTAATCATAGTCTTTATTTCAGATATTGACCACCACTGAGTGAAGTTTGCAGCCATCCCATTGTGAAAGTCCATTCTATGTTCTGTGGAATAATTAAAATTTAAGCCACAATTGCATGCATACTTTTTTGCCCATGAATAAATTCCCTCACTCGAGTGGGGGTTACGATAATTTAAATTAGCTCTGGCTTCAGTTTAATCCTTTTTAGATCAGTTAGCTTAAACATTTGTTTGCAGTCAATATATTACAAGAAATCATATCGTTCC